TGAGAAGTACTGCCAGCTGCAGAATGCCCACCTGGTGGTCATCAACTCCAGAGAGGAGCAGGTGAGGCCGCACCTCCCCAGCAGGAGGCGCCTCTGGAATGTGAACCCTGGGCGGCTGGATTGGGCGCTTTGTCATTTTTTAACCTGGGGAAGAGTCCAGAAGCAGCAGGCTGGCAGAACGCTGGGCGGTTCATAGTGGAGCAGCCCCTGATCTAAGAGGTGGAAGGTTACAGCGAGGAGCTCGGGCAAAGGGGCAGCAGCCAGGTGAGCAGGGGGTGAGGGAAGGTCAGGAGACAGAACGCAAGGACCTGCTAACCCAAGGCAGGACTCGGGTGCAAAGCGCCGAGGGGCACTGAGAGTCCTTCTCGCTGTGTGCCGGCCTGGCATGAGGCGGGCAGTTGGGTGAAAGGAGCAGAGAAGGCAGGATTCCCGTCACATAGTAAAGACTCAGCAAATGTTACCACAAAGATCCTCCTGAAACAACGGCCCCGCCTCTTCTAACAGGCTGGCTCTTCCCTGTGAAGCTGGTGCTTGGGTTGTGGTGTGGTGGCGGCAGTGGGCAGGTGAGACCTGCAGCACCATCTGGGGCTCTGGGCAGTGGGTCCAATTGGAAGCCCCAGGACCCGGTGAACCGCTGGAGATGACAGCCACACAGAAGCAGGAGCGGGGCAGAAGCCCCTGAGGGGTGGGTGACACCGATGGCTCTGTGGGCCAGAGTCAGGATCCCGAGTTTGAGGTTGTGGGCAGAAGACACGAGAGGACTCGCGTTGGGGTGGCAGCCAGGGGTTGAGGATGAAGTGGGGGCGTCACAAACTTAGCACTGCATTGACTTTGGGGGCTCTAGCAACCACCGCGAGTTCCTAACATCAGAAGCATTAGAGGGCTCCTGAGGGTTAGATAAAATAATACCCATGAAGCACGCAGCATGGGCTTCCGCCCAGTAAATGATCTCGCAACAATAGCTAAGGCGACAAAGGAAAAAGCGAGGACCTAGTTCCACTGGGGGCTGATGCTTCACCTTGGAGCAGATCAGGCTGGGCAGGCTGAGGGCCCCCAGCTAATGCCTTGGGCAGGCTGAGGGCCCACAGCTGATGCCTGCACGGAGCCCAAGGGCCAGTGATGGCGAACCTTTTGAGCTCCGCGTGTCAGCATTTTGAAAAAACCCTAACTAACTCTGGTGCCGTGTCACATATAGAAATTTTTTGATATTTACAACCATAGTAAAACAAAGATTTATATTTTTGATATTATTTTATATATTTAAATGCCATTTAACAAAGAAAAATAAACCATAAAAATGAGTTCATGTGTCACCTCTGACATTCAGGGGTTGAGGATGAAGTGGGGGCGTCACAAAGTTAACACTGCATTGACTTAGGGGGCTCTACCAACCACCGCGAGTTCCTTAAATCGAAGCATTAGAGGGCTCCTGAGGGTTAGATAAAATAATACCCATGAAGCACGCAGCATGGGCTTCCGCCCAGTAAATGATCTCGCAACAATAGCTAAGGCGACAAAGGAAAAATCGAGGACCTAGTTCCGCTGGGGCTGATGCTTCACCTTGGGGCAGGGCAGGCTGGGCAGGCTGAGGGCCCCCAGCTACTGCCTGCACGGAGCACAAGGGCCAGTGATGGCGAACCTATGACACGCGTGTCAGAGGTGACACACGAACTCATGTTTTTGGTTGCTATTTCTTTGTTAAATGGCATTTAAATTATATAAAGTAAATATCAAAAATATGAAAAATTACTATGGTTGCAAATATAAAAAAATTTCTATATGTGACACGGCACCAGAGTTAAGTTAGGGTTTTTCAAAATGCTGACACGCCGAGCTCAACAGTTCGCCATCACTGATCTAGACACTCCATTCCACCTGTTTTCCAGAGATTCATTGCACAGCACTCAAGCCCCTTTCACACCTGGATAGGACTCACTGAGAGCAATGGCTCCTGGAAGTGGGTGGACGGCACTGACTATGGGAACAGCTACAGGTAAGTGCCCCCTCCCCGCCCCACCCATCCTTAGGGACCAAATCCCCACCCCTCTCCCCTGCAGACTCCCACCTGCTCCTTTCTGTTGCCTGAACTGTCCGAGGCTGTACCTTTTTGTTTGTTATTTCAGAGAGGAAGGGAAAGGGAGAGAGAGACAGAAACGTCAATGATGAGAATCACTGATCAGCTGCCTCCTGCAAATCCCACACTGGGGACCCAGCCTGCAACCCGGGCATGTGCCCTGACCGGGAATCCAACCGTGACCTTCTGGTTCATAGGTCAACGCTCAACCACTGAGCCACATGCTGGGCAAGCCTGTGCTTTTGTGAGGTGGGTGAGGGTTGCTGGGATGGGGTGGTCAGTCTGAGCTCTGTCCTGCATTCCTAGGAACTGGGCCTTTGGTGAACCAAACAACTGGCAGGGGCACGAGCAGGGCGGAAATGAAGACTGTGCCGAACTCCGGGAGGATGGGCGCTGGAACGACGATTTCTGCCTGCAGGTGCAGCGCTGGGCGTGCGAGATGACACGGAACATCACTGGCTAGGAGCCCTGACCCCAGCAGATCTCCACCTGCACCCCACCCCTACCCTGCTCCCAGCTTCTCTACTGGGGATTTGGAAGAAAGGAAGAACAGGCAGGGGCATTGGGAGGAGCGGAGGGAGGATGGAACAAAATGGTTTCAGAATCTCAGACCCCAGGACACAGATCCCGCCTCTTCCTGCTACTCACTGTGAGGGCCACCATTTCCAGCCTCCTAGGTGGAGAAGGAAAAAATAAAGGAAACACTTGACACTCTGCGTGGTCTGGTTATTGGGAACTGGGAGTGCAGGGTGCAAAGAAGAGGTGACGCAGAGGGTCTGGGAGGAGGTTTAGTCCTAGACAGCTTCTCCTGGGTCCCCAGTCCTGAGGGACATGGACCAGGAAGGGGAGGGAAGAGCTGGGAGCAGAAGCACTCAGTGGAAGGCACCAGGGCTGGGGGTGCAGGAGGAGCTGGCTGGGCTGGGCAGGTGGGAGGGGCCGCCCACAGCCTGAGGGGCTGCTGGGGGAATCACTTTCCCTGCAGCTGGGGTCTCCTCCAGAAGAGGCTTCAGGGGCACCCAATCCCCTCAGCCTGGGAGCTGTGGCCTGGGCCGCAAGGCCGGTGAAGAATGTTGTAGGAGAGGGAGGGCTGGTGGCACCCTGTCCTGCTGTTTTCAGTGGCGGTCTCTTTGTGACCCAAACAGATCTAGACGGATGTCCAGCACAGGGTGTCCCCGACATGTCCACAGCGGGGAGACCTCATCCTCCAACATCATCCAAAACCAATCTTAGAAGGGTCTTCAAGCAATTCCATTTCTCTTTTATTATCATT